TTGCCTAGAGAGGATGATGTGCAAACAACCTGTGTTAAGTCAACAAAATTGAATATCCAGGGACTGGCCCATTTCTGCAATGTTCCACTTTTTTTGCCCATAGTTAAAGGAACAAGGATACAGGAAGAAGATCCTTGTTAGTGTTAGAGCTGTGTGCAGAAGGGTGACCTGTGGTTAGGGTTCTGGACTCATAACTGGAAGGTTGTGGATTTTAATCCAGCAGTTGAGACACTGCTGTATCCTGTAGATGGGTGCCAAGGTTAGTCACTTTTTGTGGAAGTGTCAGCCAGTGCAATTATTTAGTTATTGGATTTTCCTTTTACTCCATGGATTAAATTTGAGTCCCCCTCAAGAACAGGGCAGGTTAGAAAAATGTAAACGATTAAAAGAGCTGTGTCTGTGCTTGCAAACATTTGAAACTGAGTATTAATGATCCCTCTGCATAAAACAAGAAAATTGCTTACCTTCCACTTAAAAATCCCATCTGTCTCCGCAGATAAATCTCAGACTTCTCTTAGCTGTTAAATTGCCACAGTCTGTTGGCTTCAATAAACTACAAATTCTTATGGGCATTTGTCCCAGATGTTTGCAAAATAAGGACCATTGCCCTTTTCTGTGTTCTAGTCTGTAATGCTCTGCTGAATCTAAACTCAGGAGCTGCAGACACGACCCCATCTTGGAAGGTCTGTTGTCAACCTCTAGCTTGTGCATTGCACAGTTTCACCAACAACAGTGAAGCAGTGCTCAGGTCTGCTGCTCTGAGAACCCACTGAGGATCGGTGAGACTCATTGCCTCTGTCCAATTATTGTGGTTAAATACCTGCTTTTGTATACCTAATAGCTAAAGTCAAAAGTAAATAATGACCCAATGAAAAATTGGTCTCTGGGTTGTGCTTCAGAGTAGCATGCTCGCTGTGATATTAACAACTTCTGTGGGCTTTAAAAGTCCAAATTGGTTTTTCTCCTCACCTTAGCGTCTTGAAGACGTGATTGGGGAAAACCTTAAGTGAAGGGAGGCAGTTTTTTTTTTTCAAAAAACTGAAATGCACTTAAGCTTCAATGAGCATGTATTGACTAAATTAACTCTGAAGTTAATTTCACAATTCCCCCAGTAAAAGAAATAAGCCCTTAAGCTAAATTTGGGCAGGTCTTTGTTTCTTACATTTGGACGTTGCGCATTCCGTTGTAATGGAAAACAGCATGTCGGAGATTAATAGCAGGAAAGAGCCTTATGTTTAATAATGCTGGTCTTGTACTTACATTAGCTCTGAAATCATGCTGGCAAAAGGCTCATCTGAGCAAATGATGAAAAATGGCTGCTGCAGCTTTACATTGACGGGCAGCATCATAACAGCCCAGAATAGGGGAGTTCATTGATAAACGACTCATTAAAGCAGAAAATTGTTTCCAAATTGAGCGCCAGCACAGACGCTCGCTTCTCTTTCAGGGGCGACTCCTGCCGCAGGAGTCTGGTTTTTCTTAACATTTCTAATGGGGGGGGGATGAGAGACAACAGCAGTGGCCTCTGAAACTCATACCCTGGCTCCTCAAGCCCAAACCTGCTGGAACTGAAACCTCTGGATGAGATTCTCAGGTCAGTAAGTGGCTAGCAACCCAACTGGCCGGGATATCAGCTTCAGCAACATGACTAAGGATCTTAATCCAAACACTGGCAAGCCTTCATTGAAATCAGTGCCCCCTGTTCTCAGTTTTAAATGCACTTCCCAGTAGTTTCCACTTGTCTCTTATGGTTCTTTTTTTTTTCACTGTTCATTCTGGAGAAGTCCTTTGAGGGTTTTGCAAACTTGAATGTTCCTTAAGCCTGGGAATGTGGCCTGTCACTCTTTAAAGGACTGATTCTGGAGAGCAGTGATAGAGACATTTCTGGGCAACATTAAAAAAAAAGTCCTCAATCTCAGCCCATGACCATCGTAGAGGGCAAATGTGTGATGCATCTTATCACTTTAACTATTTCTTTTAATTGTCTCGGACTCGGAAGCCATTATTTGAATGTTTGGGGTTGGCTCAAATATCACAATTTCGGATTTATTACTGGTATCAGGGTTTTGTTTTATAAATTGGTGTGAAATTTAATTGTTGGCTTTTGCAACTTGTTTTTGTTCTTCTTGGATGTAAATCTTCTATGAATCCCCAGATTCAGTCCTCAGAATCTTTTTGATACCTAATATTTTAATTTAAAAATGATCTACAACACCCCGCTGATATTTCTGTTATTCCCATAAATCTCTGCACTGTCCCCATACACCACCGAATAGGCTAACATGTTAATTTCAGCCCAGTTAGATTTCACTTGGATAGAGGCAGATAGCATCTTTGTCTGTTGGGACATACTAACTAATCCCAGAAACAAATGAGTACAAGCTTGAGTTCTGAATTGATTTGCAGGGAATACACAGTACAAAAAGCTGAAGACATTGTGAAAGAAATCGCATGCTGTCTCCCTCACTTGAAATAAGAGAAATAATTGCTGGTACTCTGTCGCTCATTGTGTGCACAGCAAAGCCTTAAAACAACAAAATGAGGCTTTAATGAGTGAACAATTAAGGAAACAAAACTGCTAAAAATAATCCGAACTTGCATGCGAGTTCTGTCCTGTTTATAGTAGAAAGATGAGTATGTGAATAATTTCTTTTCAGTTTTACACAAAATGTTTATGATTATGTAGGAAATTGTAGAGGAATTATTTTAATCTAGTGCAATATGTGAACATAAACTCATCCACACACTTGACTGATTGAAATACTCTGTAATTTACTTTTCATACAGTGGATGCTGTTGGAAATGAGTTTCAGAACTGCTGTAGCATGTCATCAGACAGGTACTTTGGAAACCATTTTGATCCTCAATGCTTCCTGCTGACTGAATTCTTTCACTTCAAAGCAGATGTACCGTGCCATTCTCTAAAAATGTCAATATGGTTGTTGCGATTTCATGATTGCAGGAAACCCGTGTTGCAGAAAGCATTTCAACTAATGTTGTCGGCTTCTTTTTCTTCACGCAGCAGATAAACAGCAGTTTGGAAAAAAAAAAACGTTTTGTAACAAACTCACAGAACAGAATTTCCGACAGAAATTTGCACATGAAATGTACAAGAAAGCTGTATATTCCTCCTTTGATCTCTCAAGGTTGCTACTGCATGAAAAGAGATCTGTATGGGGGATTTGTAGTGGGGTATGTAACAGTTTATGCACATAGTGTCTAGGGAAAGACAGTAATTGTGAAAAGCAAATAGTGTTTCTGTATACTCTTTCTAAAACAACGACTGCCAGACATGCTTCCTGCTTCTCTCACATTCTGCATTTCCAGGAGTGAAGTTTTCAGAGGGAGAGCAATATGCTCTCGGATGAACCGGTCAGTTCATCCATCACCCAGGCAGTTTAACCTTTTGCTTCGTCCCATGCACGGGTGATTACAATGATAAACGCAACTGAAGGGATGACAAAATGCGCACTGGTAGCAAAACAACTTTTTCGAAGCCTCAGGGTTCGGTCAGATTAAGCGTTCGACCCAGACATTCAGATGCTCGGTTTGGAAAGCTCTTGTTCCTTGTCCATTTGAATTCTGCTGATCATTGGAATTTTTGGGGGGAGAAATACAGAGCCCATCTGGAGTACGTTTCTATTCATGGCTCGCCCTGTGCTTGAATGTTGCACACATAGTTCAGCAATCAAAGAATAGTTTTGATTTGGAAAAAGAAGAATGCAGGGACAGCCTTTAACACCTGCTCCAACTTTACATGCAGATCACAGTGCTACTTTGCCTGTGAAGCAGGGCGGCCTATTTCATGTTAACACAAGTTTACCAGCTGAGGCAAGAAACTGTCACTGCAGAGCTTTCCCTTCAAATGAAATACAGTGACTCGTTATGGATCCGCACTTGTAGCTTCAAACTCCAGCCAATCAGAGGGATGATTAACAGACATCTTGGCTCTCTTTAACAAGCGCATTAAATCCCACCTGCTCACCCCTTACATTTTTGGCTCATCAAAATGATGTGCACCTTGAGCTCTGTGTAATCTGCTGCAATTAGAATGCAGTGTTATAGCATTTCAGCACATCTGCCATTTCGGTTTGTTAGCTGATGTAATGCTTTCAGTGGGCCACTGAAAACTGGCTTGTCAGGCCAGAAGTCTTCGTGAGACCCTGCACTCAGCAGTGAAGTTGGACGTGTGTGTTCCATTCCCGCTGAGTGCCAGTACACAGCTCACTCAGGTGCCTGCCTTTTCCTGGGTGTTTAACTCGAGGGGAAGGAGACAGAGAGCATCAGCTGTGCTTCTTGCCTCAATGAGCATATACAGTAGTCTCCAGTGGAGCTCTGCCCCTACTAGGCGTTGTGTCGTCTGAGCCGAGCACCTTCACCCAGGACTGCTCGCCTGAGTTGTGGCCCTCTTCCTGGAAGTTTCAAGCGCTCCTGGAATATTTAAAATTCACAGAGTCTTTCCTTTTGAAATATTCAGTTTTTTTCCTTGCCTTCACGCGGATGTTAAAGCATGGCGTGCTTTCACACATACCCAAATGTGTTTTTGGTGTCTTCCTTTTCAGACAGCGAAGTGTAATCAAGTAGGACAGTTGTGCAAGAGGTGGTGTTGAACTGAAAAGGCTGTCATGGTGGAACGATAAAAACATCAGAAGCTACCATTTGCAGTCTACTTTGGAGCAGGGCTGTCTGTAGAAGTAAATGTGTTTTTGCTTAACAGTGTGACCTGCTAAACACTGCAAGTGAGTATCATGATATAATAAGGGATGGAAGGACGGATTGGATTAAGTCTTTCTAGTTTTTGTCAGTTTCAGCCTACCACAGAGGAGGTTATGAAATCAGTGGAGGTCAGGCCTGCACAGGTTTAAAATGCACAGCTCCTTGCTTTTCCCCTTTTGGCAAGAAGCGTCCACGTTTCATTTTTATTCTACTCTTAAAGGTTTGGTTTAATTGGAAAGTGATCAGTGTTCTCTAATTTTTCTGTGTGTTTTTTCCCCTGTTAGGTCTTCCTTGACCTGCCCCCATTGCCTTAAGCAAAGCAACACTTTCGATCCATTCCTGTGCATCTCTCTACCCATCCCTCTACGCCAAACCAGGTAGGTCATTCCAGCGCGACACTTAAACACAGGTAAGGCATGCTGGGTGTGAGCCCTTGTTCAAACTGTGCCTTCAGTGCATGGTGGTGTCACTAGTGATTCCACAAAGCAGCTACCCTCAAATGACTCAGCACTGTCAAGGGGTAAGGTTGTGATGTAGTTCAGGTGGGTAGCTGCGTCAGCATGCGTAGGCTGCAAAGGAACAAGTAAAAGGTATATTCCCTGCTGAAAAGAGAAGAAAGAAAACTCAAAGTTTCGGCTGTGGAGCCTTCTTCAGGTGTAATGTGTCAGTCAGGACTCTCTTGACTCTCAGCAAAACCGGCTTGCAGTGATGTCAGTGAGAGACACTCTGGACCTCCAGTCAGGGCAAACTCTCCTGTCAGGCGCTGTGGAGCTTGCTGCCAGTCAAAAGATGACATGGCTCAGATGGGTGGATCAGAGGTACTTGCCTGCTCCTCTTCATTCTCCCTGTGCAGCACAGCGTTCCAGAATAGGCAGAGTGTAATTGTGAAGCAATGTGTAATAAAAGGCTCTTCAGGGAAAAAATACTTCTGAAACAAGAAACATAAGAGTGCAGGATGAAGGCCAAGAATGGGAGTTGAGATGAGACGTTTGTATTTGTACTGTTTGACCTCAAACAGTAGAGCAGTCTAACATTCTTAGGAGCTCTTATTACAGTATGTCTTGCAAATTGGTCCTTGTTTAGATGCAAGTCACAGGGATATGTTTAAATGTCTGATCTTCTTTTCCTCTTTTGGGAAATTTTACTCAGTGAAAGATTCAAGAAGATGCAAAAGGATTCAACAGGGAAAATAATTATTTTTAAAGATTTACAGTGTGTCTAGCAGGTGTGCCTTGTCGTCCCCCTGAGGTCAGAACTTGATGAAAAAGGTTGTTAAAATGCAGGCCCATCTTCTTACTACATTAACATTGACATTGTGTTGGCATTATGTGCCCTAAGGAATTTCCCAGATCTCTTTTATGAGACAAAAGGGAAAATCCCCTACACAATTGAGAGTTCTGAGCTGTCATTGCTAATGCACTGCGGTACTTTGTAGTACTGGCTACATTAATAGACAGAGTTTTACCTTGTGATTCCTAGGCTTGAATGTGAGCAAACTGCAGCTTTCTTACTTGTGTTCCTCTCTCAGCTCACATTAGGGGAACTAACATCACCCCTAACATCACACCCTTCGTAAGGCCAGGCCATAGCCTAAAGGAAAAGCTTCATCCCCGGAAAAGCGAGGTGCATACTGTGTGAAACTGCCATTAAGGAGAGGGGAAAGCATTTTTAACTCAAGAGGTTCTACTGAATCTAAATCTGCTTCATTCTCAAAGCCTGAGAACAATACAAAGGTTAGAAGTGATAAATCTTTTGATCCTTCTTACTTGTCTGAGAGTTAACAGTTTATTAATCCCGTGCATCTCATCCTGCTGTACCTTTGAGGGCCTGCAGGAAATGTCTTCTGCAACACGGCTCGGCACTCTGCTCCACACACCTGCGACGTCTTACTTTCCCTCCCTAATGTACTCCTTGCAATTTCCACTTGTCTTCTCACCTCCTTGTTTCGCTGCTGAGTGTGAAGTAATCTGCAGGGTTTACTTGAACACTGTTTTCAGGATTCTGAAAGCTTGTATCAGGTGCCTTTGTAATACCCTCTCGTTGAAGACCGAAGCATTTCAGTTCCTTAAACCTGCCTGCTGGAGAACTAGCTTCCCGTATGCCTGAACTGCATCATATCAACACAAAGGAGATGTGGAGAATACACCAGGACTGCAATAAAGTATATTAACAGATTTGCATGTATTTTGTCTGCTAAGAGGGATTGATTTCTTGGAAGGTATAAAACTTCAAGGACCCTGTGAACAATTGCAAATTCATCTTGAATATGTATTCCTTGCAGTTTTAACAAGACATGTCGTGAAAACACCGGCCCTTATATGCGTGTGTGCGGTGTGGTGGACTGGCGTCCCATCCAGGGTGTACCCTGCCTCCCCCCCAACTTTGAACCTCTATTCTTCATAGGTTAGACAATGAATGGATGTCATGAATTAGCATTGATTTACCATGGTGTCACCATGTTGTGTCACTTTCTCTATTTACCATGATATACCACAGAAAACTATAAAGGTAGAGTTGCTGGGCTGCAAGATTTAAGGATCAATTACTTGACATACAGTAATGCTTTGGAAGACACCATCCACAGCATTGAAGAACAACAGTGTCTTACTCTTCATTGGGTTTTGGCAGATGAAATAGAATGGAAGGAAATAGGACTGATCTACTCTATTTGGGATATACATTTAAAAACAGAATAAAGTTTATAAACAAGAGGAGGCCATTCAGTTTATCTGGGTCAATTAGCTGTTAGGATCTAACTGAGGACCTCATCCAGTCATTTGCTGAAAGATGCTAGACCTTCTGCTTCAGAAACACCAGTGAGTAGCTTGCTCCATACTCCCACAACCTGTTGTGTACAAAAGGTTCTTAATTTTCAATGCATTTCCTTCTTTCAGTTTATGCCCTATGGATCATGTTTCACTGCTGATTTGGAATTTCAGGTTCCACCTCAAATAGATGGGGCTAATGTTGATCTTAACTGTTCTTTAGATGATGGGTAAATAAAAAAGGATACTTTAAAAGCTTTGCTTGTTTGTGCCTTACAATTGGAAGAAAAAAAACAATTCCCTGAAGGCCTGACAGATGGACTGCCAGCTCCTGCTGATGTTTGCCTCAAGTTGGCCATGAGTGCAGACTGATGAACACGTCCACTAACCCTCACGAATGTGTGCGTCTGCATTAAAACCCTTCTCTGTTCATCACAATCTGCAGACCAACACCGACATTTTTTTCTGTTTCATCAAACGTTTGAAGGTTGAGCTCGAACTTGGTGGAAAAAAGGTGCTTGATGTTCTGCTCTGGCAGGCTGTGGGGGGAAAAATATATTTTATTTGGAGTGAACATTGCAACTTTGCAGACAGTAGCAATATGGAGTTCCCATTAGACTTTGTGAGGAGAATCATTTTGTCTGCATACAGTAGCTTCATAATTGAGCCCTACAGTATGTGTTTGTGCTGCTGTTGCTTCACCCATGCTACAATTACAATCATGTACTATAGGTACATAAAATGACTTCCAGCAAAAGCTTATTACAGTATACAGTTTACAGCTTGTAGCTAGAGTACAGAACCCTGAGACATTTTTTTCACAACATTGCATTTTTGGATCATTTTGATGTTTAAGATTAATCTAAATTGACTGTTTCACTGTCACATTTGCATGGAAACATGATCTGAGCTGTTGGATACATTTTCTGAGGAACAGTTGTTTAATCTTTGATTTTCTCGCTTCTGCCTTGCCTTGTTCATGACTCTGCAAGATTTACTGTTGAACTGATAATCTCTTTTCCCACCATGATGTCTTTAACTCAAAACCCTAAATATTTCCACGGACTTATTGATTATTACACTGTGACACTGTAAAACAGACCCTCTGATCAAACGAGCCCTGGAGTATTCTGATCTGACCTTTGACCTGCTGACCCCCTGAGTTTTAGCAGTAACGGTGTAATGGTCGAAGAGTCCCTTTTCGCTGTCAACTTCTCATTTTATTTGCCTCATCTCATTGTTTGGTCAAAAGCCAGATGACTTGTATTGCATTCAGTCTGAATCAGTTTCATTTTGACAACCAGTGGAGGTACTGTACTCATCCTCTACAGATTCCCGTGGAACTGCTGTTTCTACAGGTTTTCAATGAGCCCATTGCACAAATCATTGGCCTAACTGGAGCGGTCTAACCATTTTTCCAAGCTCTTAAGATGCCTTAATGGGCATCCAGAGAAGAGAAGACATCTAGCTATTGCTAACCCTCTGGTCTGGAGTTCGGCACCCCTAGATGATCAGAAGCAGGATCATTGACTCTTGACACTTATCAGGAGCTCTGCTGCTGGTGGATAATCCCACACTTTGCATCTTCATGCCCCGGGGATGCATAACACCTGCTTCTGCCATCCTTCATGTGGAAAGTTTGCGATCAGCTTGAGTTGATGGCCGGATATAGATGGAATTCATTATCTTTTGTCTTTATAAAACTCACAACTAAGGGCTGCCTAAATTCATTAGGATCTGGAGGGGGCCATGTTCCTGCTTTGGAAGGACGAGATCATTTTAAAATTCTGTGAATTCCTGTGTGTAACAGGGGTCTTGTGAGAGCTGTTTACAACATGCTGGTATAACACAAAGTAGCATAATTGATATGAATGTGGGACAGTTCACCATTATGGATGTGGATTAATTAACTGCTGTCTGTTAGGTTTGTGTTTGACGGATTACACAAGACTCATTAAACAGGTGTTGCGTTTTAATTGCTCTTCCTGGCAACAGACTGAGAGCCGTTCATTTTGGGGAGCTGGGCTCTAAATTTGCAGTCATTCTTTCAAATGAGCATACCTTATGCTATGCCCTGACTCTAATCACCTGCCAGGAGAAGACCTGGGAGATTTGGGATTGTGATGGAATGGTTGTTGAGGGACCTGAGAGGTGGATTTCCCCATCCCTAATCTAGCCTGCAGATTGGTGATAAGACTGGTGCACATGACAGGCTACACACCTTACTAGAAACGCTACAACGCAATGTCTGTGTCTCCGCTCCAACTAAATGAGCAAATTCTGCAATCATAGCAGAAGAGAAACAATCAGACAGTAATTTCAATTCATACACTGAATTGAACCTTAACCCTAACCCTTTCACAAACCTGAAGGAGGCTCCACAGCTGAAACATTGTGTCTCTTTTCTTTTCTGCATGGAATAAACCTGTACTTGTTCTCTCAAATATTGGCAAACAGGCCTAGTCCCTACTGGAAGAAATCAGGAGAGATGACGAGCTTCTCGCGAGCCTAAATCTGAGCTACTCTATCCGTACTTCAAGACAAAATAATAAAAAGGGGAAAGATCAAATAAAATAGGGGTGCCGTTGAGTGCAACAGTGTTCTCAACACAGGTGAGTAACTGCAATCCAAAAATTGGAAAAAAAAACTTTGGAAGTTCTGGAAAAAACAAAAAAACGACCGAATGTACTGATGGCATATATGGTTCTATGCCTATTGACTGGTTGAAATGTTAAGTCAGGGTTTTCTAATCTCTAATGATTAAGTTTAGCTAACAGCAAGAGAGCAAGGGTGCGAGCTGGGTCCTGCTGCGCTCAGTGGAGAGGCCTGGGCTGCAGCTCGATACTCGCTGACCCAGGATGGCAGCCAGTGCTGACCCTTTCCTTATCTGTTGTCACATAGGTGTCCGTGTGGAATATATAATCCTCTCCACAGAACAGCCAAAGTCATGCAGGATGCAAGATGAATAGGAGGCCTTCATTTTCAAGGCTCAGCCTCTCTTTTCAGAATGCAGTTTTCCTGTTTGTTTTTGTACTAGACCAGCAGAACGCAATTATCTAAATGGAGATTTTTAGATTTTTATGTTGTCAAGTTTTGAATTGCCCTGACAAAGCACTTCAGATGCAAGGGCGCTCTCTACAAGTTCAATCTGTTACGTTAATTAGCACTGTGTGGGAAGAAATGAATGAGCCCGATTCACCTGAAGAGAGAGGAAAAGGAGTTCTTAGTTTGCCTGTGCTTTCTTTTTCAGGGCTAATCACGTTGCAAAACTATTTTTAATTAAAATAATTGTTTGCACTTGATTGCCTAATTTGCAAAAGAATGCGAAGGAAAATACTGTATATACATTATGCATATTCCATTTAATACTTTTTTGTCAAATCCTAATTGATGTAATTGTCACATCTTGCAGTCCAGTATTGTAAGTGCTGGATGTTGACCAATATTTTGAACAAGGTGCGTTCAACAGCTGAGCAGTTGTGCAAAGCCAGCAGAACAATTCTTCCCCCTGTGTCTCTGACATCATCGGCCCAAAGACCTGCTGGTACCCGTGGGAGGATTGAGGGAGAACTGGAGTTCTGCTGCTAATGCAGTCAAAGCCTTGTTGCTTCGGGTTGTCAGGTGTCCGTCCATAGTTTAGGGTCCTTCGGTGTAAACATGGAGGAGAGTGCCATAGAGGAGAGGTGCGAGGGTTTGTGTGGGATAGGATTAATGCTGCTTTCTTCCGAACATAAGAAAGGTCACGAGCAAGAGGAGGTCATTCAGCCCATCTAACCCTTTGGATAGTTAGCAGCTTATAGACCCAAGAATCTTGTCTAGTTGCTTTTTGAAGAACGCCTGTCAATCTCAACCACATTGCTTGCTCCACACTCCTGCAGCCCCTTGTGTAAAGCAGTGTCTGCTATTCTAGGTTAGAAATATAATTGGACAGAAGCCGCCTGACTGAAGCGTCTTGATCAAGGGTACAGCAACAGAGCCCCATTGGGACTTCACACCTGCAGCCTTGCAGGCATGTGTTCACAATCCTAGCCTCTCCTCCAGCAGCAGAGCTTCATTTACTTTTTCATGTTTTGTTGTTGTATTTGTTAAAAAACATCCAAAGCACTGAATTAGAAAAAAAGTGTCAGAGTGTCCTTGTCTAATCCCTGTTGATGAATGGCTCTGAGGTGATACTCTATTACAGCATCAAAGAAGCACAGAATTTTTCACCACTTTTTGGTTCAGAAGCAGAACTGCTGTGTGGGAGTTTTTACATTCTCTTTTGCATTTAGATGCTTTGAGGAAGCCGCACAGAAGCTGCTCCACGTTGGTCTACTTTTTCAGAAGATACAGCACAGCAAGTGGATACTTGTGGGGAAAAAAAATAATTGCTTTTTTTCATTTAATCAAAAAAAAGGCAGATTGCCTTGGTGCTTCAGTTTACATTATATTTGAATTTCTCAATTTCTCTCGAGGTGGTACGCTGTTGAACAAAACACGATTAGCAGATTTGTTTGGTGTAAGTTACTCCGCTTTGTGAGCCAAGGCCTAGGAATCTCGTTGTCTTGGAGACGGAAAGGCAGAGTGGAAGAAGTCCCCAGCCTTTATCTTCAGTGACTGGGCTTTGAAATCAGCTCCTCGTGATAAGTGGCTTTAGTTAATTCTCTTACCTAAATTCCCTATAGGCATTTATCTCAACACCAAATGTCCACCCAGTTCAGGGCAAACTGACAGCCCTGCCAGTCTCTTGTGGCAGCAGGTGTCCCGCTCTGGTAGGAAAGTCAGGTGTGAACTGATAAGCGAACAAAGCACAGGGATAAAGGTAGCCTTCTGTCTGCTGGTGTAGGGCTCATCCCTCTGTTGCAGAACACCAGGGCAGTATATTTGGCCACTTCTATTCATAAAGGGACATGAGAGTGAATACCGACGATAGCTCCAGTGCTTTCAGTGAGAAAGAGAGGAAAATACAGTGAGTTGACGTCTGCTATACTGTGGTTTTAAATTATTTTTAGAGAAATAAAATAGCAGAGAAATGCGCAATGCAAAGTTTTGCGATTTGTTCTGGGGCAGAGAACCACTACTGAGCCAGGGTTCTGAGTTTCCTTTTCTTCCACCTTGTTGCAGGCCATTAAGATGCATGTTAAGACATCCTGTGACAGATAAGTGCATTTCTCTAGTGGGCTTCTAAGGACCTCTTAGCTGCTGGTACCTGAAAGGCTTTATTGTTCATATGGTGAAGGGATGGTTTTAATTCACTGCACTGGCATTTTTCCTTTTATATTTGTCACCCATTTAGTTTGCATTCTGCCAGGCAGTGATGTGTACAGAGAGGTAGAGGTGAGCAGGTCAGCTGAAGACGCATTTCCAGCTGGGAGACAGACTTTTCAGATGTAAATCTACTAGGCTAAAAATCCTCTGTCCATCAGAGTTCAGTCACGTCCAGACAGTACACTGAGAAAAAGCATAATTTACAAAAATGAGACTCCCTTTCAACACAGTTGAACTAAAACAAAGCAGCACAGCATCTGAATACTACTGTTTTTCCTTTAAACAGATCATTGTGCTTACAAATCTACATGCTGTCATATGTTTGGAAAGCAGCTTCACTACAGTTAGTGATACAAATGGCTCACACATGAACACAGTATGGTAGTTTTGCTCAATTTGTCTTGAAAAGACAAATAACTATTAAAGGGTATTTCAGATGCACGATAATATGAGCATGTAAAACAAAACAGAGTAATACCCTGTCCACTTCAAAACCCTCTGGGATATTTGGACAGAGCGGGTGGGTGAAGTGCTGATTCTGCAGGAGCCATGGATAATCCCGGAAAATTGGATTTTTCTTCAAATGGATTGATCAAGCTTTTGATGCATCAAACACAAGGCTGACGAAAGGAGTCCGAAGTCACTATCTCAATTCCTGATCTCTTGCAGACCTCTGTACGTCACCCTGGTCTTCAGCGCCAAGGGTCAGCGGTACCTGAGGATCGGCCTGGCTGTTCCACTCCTCGGCACACTGGCTTGTCTGAGGGAGATGGTGGCAGAAGAAGGGAAAATCTCTCCAGATCAGGTAAGTCACCGGCGAAATGATGGCACTCAATGAGACACAGCCCAGCAGGTGCCTTACTGACTCTAAATTATGCATTTCCATCAAACCTGCACTCTTTGTTAAAGCTGGCTTCGCCACAAGCCTTTCATTACAGAGGAAGGTGCTGTTGGAGATACTTAAATTTTTAAAAAGCTTCTTCTTTTCCTTTTGTTTTTTTTAAGCCTTCACAGCCACTTCAGTGCCGTTTTCTCACTTCTTGCAGGCTGTACTGTTGTACTGAGCACTCACAATGGAAAACGATGAGACAGCCACATACATGCCAGGGCCAATTATTACAGAAGCCAGTTCACCTACCAGTATGTCTTTGGACTGTGGGAGGAAACCAGAGCAACTGGAGGAAATCCATGCAAACACAGGGAGAACATGCAATCTCCACCAAGATAGCACCCCAGGAACTGAGCCTGGGGCCCCAGCACTGCAAGGCACTAATGCTAACCACTGTGCCACCCATAGTACTGAGGCAATAACTTCAATTGACCATAATTAACTAGCTGAAGCATTCTTTCACAGAAGAGGGTTTTACTGCTTTACACCCCAAAGGGTTTTTTTTTTCCTTTAAAAATTAGATCTGATTCATTAAACTTCAGTAACAATTTGTTGAATGTTTTTGCTCTTAATTGACTCAATTGACTCGCACTTCCTTTGGTTCTGAAATCTCCATAGGGTATAAATTAATTTAACTGCATGCTGTAGCCCGTAAATATGCTTAACTTCAATTCTTGCCACTAGAGCTCATAATTAAAGCCAATTTTGGGAAAATTAGGCAGTGTCGTGGCGCAGAATGTTAGCACCAAGACTTTAATAGGACCACTGTAAACTGTTTTATTGAATACTAAGGGTTTGATATTTCTATTCTGTTTTGTTACCTTTGCTTTGTGCTTCTTAATTATCTCTTGTATCCTATGTGATTGATTTGCATGTCATTTGTTTTTGTTTAAATGGTTGATTAAAAATATCTTTTTGGAAATTGGGTTTTGAGCAATGTCTAAATTGCCCTTTGTAGTGTCGCCTAGTTTGGACAGGAGCTATTGTACCCCTGATATTGTGAAAGATCAGCATCTTGTCCCACATGAATTTTTGGAAATCAAAAGGTTTGGTCTACCAGGTTGTGATGTCTGTTAAAATCAGACTACAAACCTATATACTACAGCAGTCTTTCACTGCTTTAATTTCTCACTGATGATAGAAATTGGTGTTCAAATTCCAGTTTAATACTTCATTGCCATAACAACTAGTTGCATGGAATTTGGTTCATTGAGCTCTTACAGTTAAAGACAAACAGTATAAATATACTGCATAGCCAATAACATAATGCATCCACCCAACACATTCACAAGCCAGTGATAAAATCAATAACAGTGACATAAATAACAGTGGGGCCTGATGGAGTATGAGTGTGCCATGCAAAAATATCAAAGGTTCAAGTTGTATATAAAGTATTGTATACATGTGGTGTTACTCACTAGGATGGTGTCCAGTAAGAACTGCAATCCAGTTGCAAAGACAATAATTGTCAGGCTAAAAAAATACTTAAGTCAAACATAACCTGTCACAGGTGCTTTTCAGTAGTATGTCATATGACCTCACCTCGGTAGATTTGGAGAAGTCTCCCTCTTGTGTCCACAACTGGTATTGTCAACTATACTCTATGCTCATCCTGTACTATACTATCACCTGGTGAAAAAGGAAAAGTTCCTACAGTCCCATGGCTTATCACATAAGGATGAACAGTGAAGCAGGATCAGGAAAATGAATATTTTCCTGTGCGGAGTGGAAAGCTTTAAAACTTGCCTTTGAACTGCCAGCAGGTAGACTATTTTAGGATTAGCAATGTGGCCTTCCTAATCCTCTCTGAAATTCCGCTGCTCCTGCACAGTTCTGGGAGACTCAGAAATGGTGAGGAAGGCAATGCGACAGCTCTCTCTTGCCTCTGTGTGCGGAAGGCCGTCCATCTATCATCACCCCCCAGCGCCCTGAACTGCCTGTCTGTTGTCTGCCCGCCACAGGGCGTATTTTCTAAACGCGTGCTCGGCGTTATTGTATGTGACAGTGTAGCTGTACGTGACACCGCATTCTGAAGTGCATTAAATAAGACTCGGCGGAAGCTGCAACAATTCTGCAGCGCACCTGTCACGAGAAAATGGATTACTTTTCCTCTTAGTTCTGATTTTTTTTTCTCTGTACACTTAACGCTGTTACACAGAGCATTCCTCTTCAGGCTGCTGCGCTATTGCATTAAATCGGTCGGCTGGAATGATTCGCTGGCACAGAACTTTTGAAAAGTAAAAAATAACTCGTTCCTTTTCAACCCCACCCCAACACACTTTAAAACTTCAGAAGTATTTTTTTTTCATTCCTCTCTTTAATTCCTTTGGTTTGATACAGCCCTCCTTGGTTTGATTTTTTATGCAGTAATGAAAATAAGCAGGTTCACAATACGGTCAGTTTATTCAGTTTTTTGTTTACCAACTTTCTTTTCCCCACACAGTTCTCAAAAAGCCCATCTGTTTCAGGAAGAGCTGACACTTCACGGTCTGCACTCAAGGCAGGAAATATTATCGCACACAGGTTTTCAGGAACTTCTGCTTTTAATTAAATACCTCATCCAGGGCAACGGCACAGCACGGCTGCCCGGAAAGAAACGCGATATAACCAACGTTTTTTTTTTTTGGTTTGTTTCACGGCCAATCTTTTGTCAATTTTATTTTTCTGGCTGTCGAGCTGTTTTTGTTTACCAGAGTGCTGGAAAGCCAAAAGTTCTGGACCCGATCCCCAGTTTCTCTCATCTTCCAAAACGACAGAAGTAATAAAAACAAAACAACCGGGCATCAGTGAGGTCAGCGTGGGTTTTTTTTTTATCCACATGCGCTTTAGGTGGGGGTATTATTTTTCTGCTGCCGCTTTTAGTCACAGCCCGCATCACGTCTGCGTTGTAATGACACGTTGTTTGGTTGCTGTTTCGTTTTGGTTGATTTTGCTGGGGCTTGTTGCTCAATGGTCCCCCCATCCTGTGCGTCTCCTAGGTGATTCTGACGGAGATCTACGCCGCGGGGTTCCAGCGCTCTTTCTCGGATGAGGAGGACTTGACCAGCATCGCGGAGAGCGACAACATCTACGCCTTCCAGGCCCCGCCCCTCCTCGGAAGGGGGGGCACCGCTCGATTCTCAGGTACTGTACAGTATAGCAGCTCGGAGCTCGCAGGGGACAGTGCCGGGCCTTGGCGGTGATGCACCAACAAGGATCCTGGACAGCGTATTTGGAAATGAGAAACAACGGTAGTTGCTGTGGCCCGCTGTTCTTCATGCACCGAACCCGAGCTAGTACGGGTGTGTCCACATAAAGCCGAGATCTGTTAGCACGTTTTTCAGTTGTTTTTTTTTATCAGTAGTGACATTTTAAAAAAGTCTCCACAGGCTTGTGCAGCTGTTACTGCGCGTGGACTTGCGAAAGCCGGTTGTCGGAGAATTTTCTGAGCTTTGTGCGGCTCACTTTGGTTTCACTTTGTTGCCCTGCTCGGCTCTGCCCCCTGCTGGTATTCGTCTGGGGTCGCCCGCGGGTTGGGATCATGCCCAAGCACCTCTCCCTAGGCAGCAACAGACATCTGGGTCAGCGGCTTTGTGTGAAATGTCCACAGTCGGTGTTTCAAGAGGGTAACGTCACCTCTGTGCTATTGATCTTATTGATCTTATTGATCTTATGAGTCCTGTCATTCCTGCAAAGCTACTGCTTTCTCCCAGCAGCCCTCTTGACCAGCACACAGGGTGTCTGCCTTGTGCGTGCTCAATGATGGTAGGTAGCGCAGTCGAGAAACCGCTGTCACAGCTGTGTTTAAGCTGTTTAAGCAGTGAGGTCTTTAATAGCTGTTTTTCTTACTTCCCAGTGAGAGGCAATTAAGGTACAGAACTGTAATTAGATAGGTGTAGGGGATTGTCCAGCTCTTGCTGCAGACCTGCAACAAAACAAGGACACCAAGTAGCAATTTCAGAATTTCTTTCTCACTCACAGCAAGACAACCTTCTGGCAGCAATCAGAAATGTCATGATTTAATATTATATTGCAGTATATAATATTATATTGCAGTATATATTTAAAATGGGGAGACCTGATCTGTGAATGGATTGTTTATCTGCCCTACATCTGTGGAATGCGTCCTTTCACCTGGAATGTGTTTTGTAAGTTAACGACACTGTCTTCCAAAGTTGAAGCTGTTTTAAATTGCATCTCATTCAACAAAATTGTGTTGTTATTTTCTTCTTAGTCAGAATAGATTCACTTTATCCTGAAACTGTTCAGGATGAGCGTATTGATAAGGGATGCTCTGAACCGCAGAGAAACAGGATCGTATTGGTACAGCACAGTATGTGCAGTTACAGGAAACAGAAGTGTTGTTTTCCAAAGGTGATCTACTGTCATGTTCCCGGGCCAAGGTAGTGGTTGTTACCTCACCTGAAAAGAATTCCTTTACGTTATTAAACAGTGAGGAATCGGCTAATGAAACATCCCTTTGTTGTGACACGTTTTTGAAGGTTCTTTTTGACAGGGGGTACTTTAACAGGCCGTTTTGAAATTCTCTCTCCCTTAGCCTGGCAGTTGTAAGCTAATATTCCTTGTGATTTTTCCATTGCGATGTACTTGTCCTCAATCCTACTCTGTGCATCTATGCATGTGTGCAACACACAAAACTTCCCATGTGGGTGAGTCTGCAAGTGCTTTTCTTGAGGTGTTATCCAGGGGGAAAAACACAGCTGGAGGCAAGGGACGGCTTCTAGAGGTTGTAGTGCCTGGATCTACAGGATAATAGAGCTTTAGAGACTTGATCTAGAGGCTCTGTAAAACTGAAGGTTTAGCTCTTTAGTTTGCGGTTCTGTTAACAGTCAAGTCCTCACTTTCAGTTTCTATAACAAATTCTACACTATTCTTTTTAGCAAATGGGACTTTATTCAGTGTTCGTTAAATGGAAATTTCCTTTCTTTTATGTGCCTTGGCCGAAAGCCAATTATATTCTTAAGAAATGCTTTACATTTTCTAAAAGAGAATTCATAGCAGAGGTGAGCCAGTCATTAAAACTGAAGGGCCATCTATTTCCAAGCCTTGCAGTAGTCAGTTGCTTCCTGGTCAGCAGTTTGTAAAGATGAAGAAATCCTCTTGCTTGCACGTTCAGGGGAGTGGTAGAAAGGGTGGCGGGTCACATGAGCTGGTGCAGTCACACATTCTACTTGAATCATTGGAAATATAAGGCACTCTCTTTCGGAGAACAGCTCTTTCGAACCACTGCATAGATGGGTTGCAGGAATGCAGCACTAATATAAAGTTGATAATGAGCACGTTTCCATTACAGACAAACGTTTTCTTTTTGTAATATCGGTCGGCCCTGCAGGGAAGCAAGGGGGAAAAAAAGAGATTTTTTTCTTATTCCATGACAAGAGCTGTCCGAGTGAACAATTAAAACTGTGGGGAAAGACCTCATCGCCTGCTCCTGTTGGAGATGTCCAGCTAACATGGCTTGGATCCCTTTCTCGAATGATAGGGGTGGTGGGAAAAAAAATGAGGAAAAAAAAAAGGTGTCCCAGGTTTTCAGCATTGTTTTGAATTGTTTAGGATGTTGGATTGGATGAGTCACGGTTTACATTAACGCCCCTGGAGTGTTCCTTTCTCTTTTCTCCCACGGTCCCTCGTACAGTCGTACCAATGACTTCACCTGCTCCTTTCCCTGCAGCTCCAACCCAGACCTCGTTGATTGTCAGCAGTCACTGTTTGCTCAGCAGATGGTGACCCTTCCCTCAGGTGCTCTGGAATCAGCATTTCACTGCTTTCATTTCCCTTCAGTCGAAATAGCTGAGCTCTCAGTGGGCTGCAGTGGCGGTGTTTTCAGGACGCTGCAATAGACAGAGGGCATGCTTCTTCTGTAATTAAGACGCCATAGAAAAAAAAATCTGTATTCCTTACAGGCTGGTTTAGAGCAGTGCCACTGGAGAGCTGCTCAGGGGGAGAACATCCTGACTAAGTGGGCCAGGAGCACAGACGGGAGGAGGGCAAGCTATTTCAGAGGGATCTCCTCGCAGCAGCTAAAATTAGGAGCTCGTCCTCATTTCTCCCTTTGCTGTCTCAGGGAAAATAGAACACCAGTGGGTTTTGCAAGGAATGAGCGGACCTTCCTAAGACGGCTGATGAATTTCCTCCACTTCTTGATCATTTTTTAACCTCCTTCTTAGTTTTGTTATCTGAGCCCCCCAAAAAACTTGTTTACTGCAGCGTTATGGTGGTGTAAGTACTCAAAATTATGATCAAGTAGCAAATTTGCCTACAAACTTTTATGGACACAATAAATGGATCAGGTCTGTTTTATTGACGACATCATCAAACATCTGGCCTACATGCTGCTCTGCGCATTGCAGTCACGCAGTGGGAGAACTGATGCGCATATGTTCTTATATAGCAGATATGTTCGTTAAAGAGAAATATCTCTGCAAAGGTGTTCTTCCTTCAAACTCATGTGACAGCAGCAGGGATGAGATAAGTGTGCTGGCTCACTGTGCTGAGTGCTGAGGCCCGCTGAGCCTGTATCCTCATATTGATTCCAGGCTGACAGAGCTTCTGCAAGCTGTCTCGTGATCTGTGAAGCTTTTGAGCTGACAAAGACGTGGTGCTGATTGTAGAATGGACAAGGGCTAAACGGGACAGGCTTGTCCAGACACATGCGAGTGTCTACAGTTTGGTGAAGAACCCATGTGATTAATAATAATAATTCCTAACACTTATATAGCGCTTTCCTGGACACTCCACTCAAAGCGTTTTACAGGTAATGGGGATCCCCTCCACCACCACCAGTGTGCAGCCCCACCTAGATGATGTGACAAGAGCCATAGTGCACCAGTACTCTCCCCGCACACCAGCTCTGTGTTGGAAGAGATCAGAGTGATGAAGCCAGTTCAGAGACTGAGATTATTAGAACGCCATGGTTGGTAAAGGCCAGGGAGTAAATTTGGCCAGGACACCAAAGTTACATCTCTACCCTTTTCGAGACACGCCCTGGGATTTTTAATGACCACAGAGAGTCAAGACCTTGGTTTTACATCTCATCTGAAGAACGGTGCCTTTTTACAGTATTTAGTGTCCCCGTCACTATACTGGGGCATTAGGACCCACACAGACTGCAGGGTGAGCACCAAACTGGTCCAACTAACACCTCTTCAAGCAACAACCTTAGCTTTCCCATACTGGCCAGGCTCACACCTGCTGAGCTTCAGTGGGCTGCCAGTGGTGAGTTGCAGCGTGAAACGGCTGCTGGCTTGTGAAGTCTTGTCAGGCCTGTTGTGGCTCTTTCCGATGCACGTAGTACGCTGGCCAGATGTTTAAGGTCCAATACCACCACCATTAGAAAATGTATCTGCAGTGAGACCCACTAGGACAGGATGTGTTAAGAGTCCATTTTCCTCACACGCTCACCTTCCACTGAGGCTATGGTAGGGGTGAACTCCACATTTCACCAGTTTTCAACAAGGGTCGTTCTGGCCAGTGGAGGTCTTCCTTAAACTAACCAAGAAGTGTTAACCACCAGGAGAGCCTTTCAATTGGACTTGAGATTCCTAATTTTTTGGCCAGTGGGTGCATAAAAAGGAGACATGGAAATAACTGAGTCCTGGAATGAGCAGAATCCTCATTCTCTCGGTCGTCTGGCTCAGGATGCCCATGAAATCCATTCTTTACCCCAGGCAGTAGCAGGCAGATCTGGAGCCTGAGCTTGAGCCATCAGTGGTCTGTCCCACTCAGTGAAACAGGCACATGGCCATCCTAGCAGATGAGGACAATAGACGGTATCGAACCCCTAGTTTGTTCTCGTTCATTCCCATACGTCCTTCAGACTTCAGAGGGATCCCCAGCTTGTTCTCCCTCGGAGAGGAGAGCAAAGACTGAGAGAAGGTCCTGCTTTCCTTGTTTCTTGTTGGCTGTGCAAGGCGCCCAGAGAGATGCTGTCACTCCTCCTCCTCCTCATTTCTAGCCATGTCTCTTCACTGCGATGTGGGAATATTATCAGTGAGATCCGGTGAAGTTTTCCTGCAAGCTGGCAGAGTAGTTGAGTTTTATCTCCTCTGTTCCCTTTCTGTCCCGGTGCAAGACTTGTCCCCAGGTCTGTCAGAATAGCAGGAATAGCATAAGTTATCTAGACT